TTATTTTATTATTTTGTGTGTGTGTACCGTCAAATCAGATCTGACTGGTATAGGAGGAGATTGCCCCTTCTCCAGCAGAGCATCTGGTGGATTTGAACCGCATACTTCTGGGACTGCAGTGAACCTTCTTGCCAGTAGGCCACCAGAGTTCCCCAAGACTTCATTTTTAAATTGGACTCAGTCACTTACATGATTTCATTCTCTGGTCTATAAATGGGAGCTACTGTACCACAAGTGTTCCACCCTAAAAGGACGACTGCTATTACCACCAACATGTGAATTTATTTAGTCAAGTTACTTACACTCTGAGCCTGTTTCTTTCCATAAAGTCCCAACCAGAAGACTTTCCTGCATCTTTACCCCATCTTCATGGACTTTATCAAATAACTGACAAATGACAGGAATTCATACTGGGATTCTCAAATTCCATTTTTAATATGTAGTAAAGGAAAAAATCCTCATAAAATTAATTACAACTATCATTACTAAAATCACTAAAATTTAAAAATTACTAAAATTAAAAAATCTAACCTAAGCTCCACGGCAGTGCTAGTGTAAATCCAACACCACCACATCAAATTCCTACTGTTTCCTTATCGGGACATCCTCGTAGGGACGGTTTCACAAGCATCCTGTCTCAGGCGCCTTTCTAAGCCTCCAGGGGGTCTGCAGGGGACCAAGAGCAGCCAACACACAGAGCGCTGTGGTGTTTTAAAGGAATCGTAGGCATTTCACACCAAAATGCAGAACCAATGCTCCGCATGGGCTGTTTTCATTTCCTCTCCTGCTGAGGGATGAGAAACTTGTTTACTGGGGAGGGGGGGGGGGGGGGGGGGGGGGGGGGGGGGGGGGGGGGGGGGGGGGGGGGGCGCGCGCGCGCGCACACACACACACACACACACACACACACATACACACACACACACACACGGGACGGCATCTCCACCGGAGAGGATTTCCACCAGCATCTCCTTCCAAGTGCATCTTCTCTCAGATCACACCAACAACCACTTCTGGAGCTTCTGCTTCTGTGTTAACTACTACTGAAGAAATCTATCAATCTAATAGCATTCTTATCATTTCTTCCTTTCATTCCAATTATTCTCCAACATAGAGACTACACCAGAAATTAAATCCAATCTAGGAAAATGGGAAAACCTTCTGGCTTGCAAGCTAATCACTGCTCTTTTTATTACAGATCGCATACAATAGAAATCAATTAGTTAAAACTGACAGAAGCCACTGCCAGTAAGTTGGATCCCGCTCACAGTGGCCCTCCATCAGGTCTCCAAGGCTGGAAATCCTTACATGGGAGACTGTCCACCTTCTCCTTCTGAGTGCTTCCTGGCTTCCAACCATTGACCTTTTGGCTAAAGTCCAATATGCTGCTACATACTATGCTTCTTTAGTCAATGCAATGAAACGATTTGCTGGTGTATATACACACACACCCCTCCCAAACTATGTATGTACGTATGTATGTATATGGTTGTTGTTGTTATGTGCCATTGAGTCGCTTGGGACTCACAGTGACCCTATACAGCCCTAAATCCTGCTCTGTCCTGTGCCAATTGCACTGTCTCTGATACACCCATCCCAATTACCACAGTCACTGAATCAATCCACCTCATAGAGGGCCTTCCCCTCCTGCGCTGTCCCTCCACCCTCCCAAGCATGATGTCCCTCTCCAAGGACCAGTCCCTCCTTACATATGCTAAGTATATGGTAGCTGACTATTTCCTAATACTGTGTCACTTACAGAGCATTCCTCCTTGCTCAGTCTTTAATACAGGGTTCTGCTGTGGTTGAAAGCGTGAGGCAGATCAGAGTTTTTACAACTGGGCGATATGTCACAGTAACTACACCAAGTCAAAGGAAAATGAGCAAAGCCCTGGACTGGGAGACTTGGCAGGGGCACAGTGAGCCCTCTGAGGAGCCTGATGTGGGAGACTCAATTATTCAAGGTTGGCACAGTGGTTAAAGCTGTTGGCTACTAAACAAAAGGCGTAAAGTTCCATAAAAACCTGAGTTGTTCACGGCCTCTGAGCCAGCCTCTGCCCACGACAACACTGGGTCACACAGCACACGGCCTTAACGACAATCTTCATGGGCGCAAAGGACCAGGTATTTTCCTTCTCCGAGTCGCTGACCAAGGGTGAACTACCAACCTTCTGCTTAGCAGCCAAATACAAACTGTTTGTACCCCTGGGCCCCTAAGAGGAGGCATGTGACCACCTTATTTTAAAAATACATAAAAATATTTATACAGCAAATGTTAAGTTCAGAGTCACAGGATTAGAATTTTAGTTGATGTATTTCTGTGGATTCTATACATTTTACAACAAACATTACTTAATGAAACAATAAACCAGTCATTTTTCAACTCTGGTGCAAATACTCAGGAAGTGGGTGTGCATACCAGGAGCTCGTCCATGCTAGTCTGACATTTCTCAAGGTTTATCCGTTTGATCGCCACTTTCTCCTTCTTGGGGGCACAGTACGCAGCCTGAACCACAGCAGTTGCTCCACTCCCTAAAAATAAATGACATAAATGAATTAACTTACCACATAATTTAAACAAAAAAGGACTCAGAATCTTATTCCTATATTAAACAGACGCAGAGAAACACCCTGCAGGGTATTATCAGTGACAGCACAAGTCTTGAGCATTTCAGCATTTCACAGAACCGTCAATAAAGGGGGGGCACCTCGAGTTGTTAGGGTTCTAGTCCCGACAAGCTGGCACAGGTTCACATGTCCCTGCTCCTCCCCTTATAAACACGGGAACCCCGGGCTGCTGATGGAAAGGTCCAACAAACTAGCTGCTCCGCAGAAGATGTGCCGTCTGTTCCCTAAAAATTGAAACTGTGGAAACCTCCCAGGGCAATTCTACTCCGTCTTATAGTGTTACTGTGAGTCCGATCAGCGAGACAAGTCAGGGTCGGGATTTTCTAGCCCCTTTAATACAAGCTTCTGCACAGCTTTCATCCGAATGCTTCATTAAAGAAGGAACTATTCTGGGGAATGAAAAGCCCACTGCTCTGGAATCAGACCTACTGGCTCACCCTCAGCGGGTTTTGACTCTGTAGACCGCATGGTAGCAGACGGTCCCTGTGTCTCCTGGGGAGAAGCTGGGGAGATTCGAACTGCCAGAGAGGAGCCAGCTCTGAGCTAGCAAATACAGGTCTTTTGTCAATGCTAACTGCATAAAACAGAAGCTAATGAGGCAGGAAGCTTTTAAGTTTGACAAAACAAAGCCATCAACCCTGGCCCTGAGGTGACTCTGGCTCAAAGGGCCCCTCGATAAGGGCTTCTGAGGCTGGACACCTTTACAAGAAGATCCTGCCTGTCTTTCACCCTTGGGGCCCCTGGTGGATTTGAACTGGTGACCTTACGATTAGCAGCCAGGCATGACATGCCTTGCCACCAGGGCTCTGGAAGTTTAATTATTATCAAGTCCTTTTTAAAAACCGCAGACCCATGATGACCTCCTCTTCTGCAGAGGAGAACTGCTCCACAGGATTCATGGCGGTGACCTTGCCGAAGCAGCCTGCCAGGCCTTTCCTCCGCGGCAGTTCTGGCTGAGTCCTCCACTACTCCTTCTGTTGGTACTGCAGCACTTAACTGAAGGAAACCAAAGCTAGACCACTCAGAACTATTTTACATTACAACTCAAAGATTCATGCACTGACCGAACACATGTCCCTAGCACAAGACGTTACATTCTGCTGTGACTTAACAAATACACTAAACGGCAGACATTTTCCAAAACCTACAGATAAAACAAGAACTGCAGGTCCCAGTTCCTCTACACTAACAGCTACTCTTATTAGACTTGATATGAACTTCCTAAAAACTGTCAAAATATTTTCCAGCAAATGCAAAGTGTGTCAAGGCTGCAACACAAAAGAATATAGTAATGCCATAGAAACGCACTATTTTCTGAAAGAGACTGAATTACAAATGTACAGTATATGTATTTTTACAACAAAAAAATATGTATTATCCTGGGAGAAAAGTGTGGCAATGAACGAATGGAAATCCAAAACCTCTGTAAATGTCTACTAAAATTAATAATAAAAAAAATTTTTTTTTAAAATGGATTATCCTTAGAATAGTATGAAACATTCTTTGAAATGCAAAAAACAAGTCTCAATAACACTAAGTCATGGAAGAATATCCCTTGCTCATGGATAGGAAGACTCAAT